GATGACAAGTGGCTTCACTGAGTGCTGAGGGAAAGTGTGACAACGTATTTTGTACAATATGTGGCTTTTTATTATGAGAAACACTAGAGGTAACTGCCTGCTCCTCTGATCTATCTGAAGTATGTGGGTGTAGATGTGTTGCAGGATCTTTCATTCTCATATCTGCGCGTGTAAAATCCTGTTACATGATTATCAGATGCATTGTGGTGCTCTGATCCTCTCCATCTGATGAAGCTTCGCACATCTCCCTTATCGTGTAATCAATTACACCCACACCCGTGTCACCCACACCTCCCTCTCTGTCTCTATTCCTCCTCTTCTCTTCGTCTATTTTTTCCTCAAGAAGCATTAAATGTTTTTCTTCCTCCCCCGAGAGCTGCAGCGCTTAATAACGAGGAGAATCATCCTCGGTTAAATGGGATTAATGTTGATGTTCAATGGGAAAAGGGGACCAGTATCACGTTTTGTTGTGTTGACTGAGTGTGTGCGTCTGTCAGGATTCTTCCTCTCAGGTGCAGGAAGACGTGCACAAAGGTGTTAATCTGAACGCGGTGTTAGCAGCTTGAATCCGGATTAATGCCATTAACAGTTTGGGGGATAATAAATTACGTGATGTAGAAGTACAGACAAGCTGCTTATTTTGTCAGTGAGCTCTGTCTAATTAGTCGTAGCCGTTTTTGTGATAGAGGTTGTTATTACACCAGTTCCTGAACGTAAATGGCACATTATGTAACGCTAATGATCTTGTGATCACTTTATGCATTTAAATTCCTCTCTCTCTCTCTCTCTCTCTCTCTCTCTCTCTCTCTCTCTCTCTCTCTCTCTCTCTCTCTCTCTCTCTCTCTCTCTCTCTCTCTATCCCGCTCTCCTTCAGAATGCCTATGACATGGCAGAGCTCCAGAAGTCCCTGCAGCCCAGCCCGGCCCAGTCAGTGCAGTACAGCCGATCGCGAGCCATACACCACCATCCTCCCTCCCAGCAGCAACAGCAACACTTTTGCCAGCCTGACCCCCCCTCCAGAGCGGGTACAGCCGCCACCACCTCCTCCATATCCTCGGGAGCCACCACCATCCGCAGGGACGTCCCCCCCTGCCACTCTCCGGCTCAAGGCCAGACTGCAAATCCCAGTCGAACAGCCCAGCTGGCCCGCAAAAGCCTGTCGTTCTCCAGCCAGGACCTGGCCCGCTACCTGTGTGAAATTATCCGTGATGCCGACCAGCACCCGGAAACGGCACCTTTCGACTCCCTGCAGGTCTTCTCCACGGAGGGGGGCGGCTCGCTGGCCGGGTCACTGAGTTCCTTCAGCTCCGCTGGGCTGGAAGAGGGAACGGCAGCGGGTCAAGAGTGTTTGAAAGAGTGGGGGCCGCGCTTCGAGAAGCTGAAAGCCCTCTATGAGCGGGCCGAGGGCAGCGACCTCTAAGGAACTGCCGGGAAGAGTTCCTGCAGCACGAGGAGAGGAGGGAGACCACTAAAGACTTGTCTAAAAACCAGAGGAATTTTTCTTATGCCGCTTCGGCTTTCTCTGGATGTATAACTTCATGCGAGACACTCCCTCTGCGTACAGAGCCGGGTGGCATTTGGTACTCTAAATGAGCAGCAAATGGAAAATGCTAATCCAGGACACAGCAAATTGTGGTCATGGCAATTTTTAAGCCCAGAACGGGCATCTTTATTGAAGTTACTTGCGGATGACAATGATTTTAGTGGAACCATTTGTTATCTTTGTGTCCGACATTGGCGGAGCGCCTCGGACGTGCTTCACTCAGATCTTTCCTGATATTCCATTCTATATGTCTGTATGGTCTATGTGTTCTTAAAAAGAAAAGAAAGACGGGAAGAAAAATAAACTGCCACGCTCGGATGCGACAAGAAAGGGGTTTGTCCTCCTCCTTCACGGGCCGCTTTCTGAAATCATTTCACCGCTTGTTCTGTCAGGGTGGCCACTTGTGTTCATCAATCATAACTTCATACTCGGATACGGTTTATTTTTTTTCCATTTGCTCAACCCTCCGCTTAGATTCTATGCGCGAGGATGCGAGGATGAAAGAGGCAGTCTGTAGGAAAAAAGGACCAATAATAAACTGAAGATGTGTGAAAAACACTGAGGAAAATGAAACAGAAAGCAGCCTTATTGTCTGGCATTTTAGGAGACATTCTTTGGGAATACAAATTGTGTCCTCTCTTTCTAGCCAAAAAGGAACGGCTGGAATACAAATGTGACTGAGGGACAAGGCTGAGTGGCTGGCATGAGACGGAAGTTCTCTGTAGCTGAAAACTATCGAAAACTCTTGGCTCTCGAGCTTTATTGAGTGGTAGCAATCAGAGTCCGTTAAGACAAACGAATGTGTGTGTTATTCCATGATGTGATCAACTCCAAATGATATCGAGCTCTGCTGGAGGAGCTTACAGCTCCAGAATGAGCTTACATTCCAGTTTGCTTCCTTTGGAAAGTATTGTGTTATTAACCAAACCAGCTTACCCGACCGTATCGCCATTTCCTGTTCTTCTACTATAAATAACTACTTGTATCCCATCACATTATTCGGCGCTGCAGTGAAGAGATGAGCCTCGGCACCAGGTGCATTCAGGGAGTGGTGAACCAGCGATTTCAGACCCTGAGCGCCTCTCATGTAACATGTTTAATGGGCTTGTGAACGCATGTGGTGAGGCTGCATGGGGTAAAGGAAAGGCAAGACAAGTTTGTGTGTGCAAATGGAATAACTAAAAGTCTCCCCCCGTGAAGCCTCAAATGCCAACCTTGTATTTTATGCATTTTAAGGCAATGTTTTTTGCCCTCCTTTATTTATTTATTTATTTTTCCCGGAGAATGCCGTATGTGGAGCATGACAGGCTGGCTAAGGAGAGTGGAGCGAGTAGGAGTGTGTTAAAAGACATCAGAGTGCTAATCCTAATGTGAACTGATCGCTCACTGTCATGCTGTGAACCAAAGGATCATGGGAGTTGGAAAACTCGATGGAGAAGTCGTCACTCTTATTACGGATCTCAAAAAGTGCCAATATTTCCAAAGGCAGCAACAAGAGTATAAAAATAAAGGTTTTCAAGTTAAAGCTCAGAAATACAGCTGGAAGTGCAATGCTTGCTCTTTTATCGAGTTAAAAAGAGGCCAACGTGATTGGCGTTTAGAGTCATCCTTGTAAGGGGATTGGGAAGGATACAGCGTGAGGTGAGAGTATTCATGAATGAAGCACGATTTGAATCACAGAATTCCTTATCTTAAGTTACAAAACCTATTCCGCTTTGATTTTGAACCAAGGCCACCTGTTTGTTTGTGTGGTGAATATATACAGTACTCTATTTTGTGAAACAATGTTTTTACCCTTGTTTGTGCATATCAAAACTGCTTTTAAAAAATATATAAAGCAATCAATCTAAAGCTTTTTTTCATGTATTATTTAATCTTTCTTTGAGTTATGTTGAGGTATGTTGGGGTTTTGTATTTGCATCCTTTAAATTGCTTTTCTTTTTTTCCTTAATAAATGGACTTCTTCTGTTTGATTATACTTGAACATCACTGTTAAATACTGCTATATTCAAATGAAACAGTGGGGTTTTAATTGAATCTGTTCTAAGTCTCTTGAGGAATAAGTGGCCTATTTATTATATGGAAAGAGAGCTGTAATTAGTTGTGGATAATGCAAAACATGAAATGAGAGCGACCTCAAATCTCTGACCTGCATCTATCAAAATGCCTTTGTGATTTGGCTTCAAATGACAGGAATCCTTTCGCAGTTGCAGAAATCTGCAGCATTCAACATACAAATTTGCTTTAATACAAAAATGGAAATGTACACTGAACATCCAAAGACAAATCAACACTTTTGACACAAATGAAAACAATCCATCTGCGTGAAATACCACAGTAACAAACTAGTGCAATAAGCCGTACCGAAGAACTCTTACAGTTAAACAATGTCAGCATATGAAATCACAGCACACAGCTGCATCAAGATCATCTCCTGAGGGACAGTGTTGTGACAGAAACGTTGTGTGGAGCAAAGGTTTATGTGTCGACTGTCTTGACAGGTAATGTAACAATAGCTGTTTCACCACATTATGATACAATAACAGAATGTCACAGAGGAGCCCTCGTGTTATAAACCGAATTTTCAGGAAAAAAAACACCATGTTTATCTTTAAACACTTTAAAGAGATTCAAAACTGTACAGAGGTGCTCTGGGTGGTGCAAAACAAAGATATTCAGCTAACATTCTGGAAAGAAAGAAAACAGCAGCAAAGATCGAAGGCAGCACTTGAGGCCACTCATTTGAAGGTCTTTTGAATGCATGACTCGTTAGTGCAGCAGAGCTTATCCGAAAATGGAAAGGCACTTTCATACACTAAAGGCTTCATTTAGAACTTGAGAGAGAAAAAAAATCATATAACATTGTTGACCATTCAATTTAACTCTTGTTTTAAAAAGACTGTGAATATCTCAAACAAAACTACATTAAAAACAACTTTACAATGGAGGATTAAGGAAATTCCATGGGACATTTCTAACTTTCATGAATACTTCATCCTAAAAAACATACTACATTTAATGTCCCTGTAAATTGGTTTACAATGTGAAATCTTGAAACCTTTTTTTTTTTTACCATCTATAGCGCCAAAGTGTCCTACTTACACAACTAAAGCACGAAACATATACAGTGGAGTCCAAAAGTCTGAGATCACATTGAAAATCTAGGAATAAAAACCTAATTTAAACCTGAAAAATGTTAATGTTTAACGAAATTCTTAACTATTACTTTTGTGACACTATTTATTCCTACAGAAAATGTATTCTCACAATGAAAATTTATGGCAATGAGTAAGGCTGATCGTTCAGATTTGTTGCTGTAAGAGTGACCAGAAACTGCTTTTTTTGTTCTTTTGGCATATGGATGGATTTAATGTATGCAAATGTATATGTTAAAAGCAGCCAGACAGCAGGATGTAGCTCATCTTGACACTGACAAAAAAAAAAAAAAAAATCGCTATTTCCTGGTTTCATAAATGTGAGCTTGGTGAAAGGGCACGTGTCGAAAGAGAAGCGATGATCAGAGAGAGAGTGCGACAGACTGTGAGAAAGAGATTTTCTTCCCTCCTCTCCACGTTAAACTTGAGCTCCTGTTGCGGCAGACCGGCTCAAAGAAGATTTACACACACAAACGCACCAAATCTAACGTGTGCTGGCTCAATCAGGCATCTCTCAAGCACACAGCCGCACACACACACACCTGCTACTATCACACACTCACTGAACATTCCAGATGGGGCGTTCAGCCATCCAGTGAAGGCGGGCGACTGCTGTTGAGGAACGAGCACTACGGACCGCTTTCAGCTTTGTTTTTCTTCTTGAGTTTCTTGAGTTTGTACACGTGAAAGGTCTTGTTTTTGAACACTCGTGAGAAGAGGGTTGAATACGGAGGAGTGTCAGTCTTAATGACCTCACAAAACCGTGGATGAGACGCCGGGATGAGGTCCGGCTCGTTTTCACCTGGGCCATCCATGATCTGTAACAAACACACATGCACAATCTTGAAACGGTGGTGCTTTTCTATAAGATGGTTTTGTTTTTTACGGTGAACATTTTAGAGCGGATTCTCAGATGAAGAAGAGTCTCAGAAGTCTTCTTTTAAAGAGCATTCCACTTCTTTATCTTTGAAATCTTAGAGAAATTGTGCCCTGAGGGTTTTTTAAACATTTACTTTGAGATATATTCCCAAATTAACAGAAAGGCCTTGAAATGCTGCTGTGAGATCATTGAAGCACCCAGAGATCGAAAGAACTGCCACCCATGGGAGAGATCAGAGCGGAATCGAAAAAAACTATACCGCACACAACACATGGCTGTTTCTGGGCCATCGGTATTGCATATAGGTAATTCTGTCTGCAATTAGCAAGGTTTAATTAAACCAGACCGATTGAATCAAGGTTAAAATAACATATACACACAGAACATGGTACAATAGTGAATCTTATTCAAACTGCTGGAGGCAGCCTGAAGGAAGGAGTCGGGCTGCATCAAACGAGTAAGTGAGCGAGGCTCTTTCATTGACTGCTCGAAGTCAGATCAAGAGGAGCAAGTGAGGCAAACTTCTGTGAGATCTTTCAAAGGCATGGCATTCACCTCAGACACATGAATGACAACTGCTGACAAGATATTTTCAGCCAGAGCTCTTTGCTAGGATGTGGAAGAGATGATTTTTTTAAGCTGACGTGTGCACAGACACAAATATGAAGTGCTGCAGCTTAGAAGTTGGAAATGTTGCTTTTGTCAGATATTATGCACAAATATAATCAACTACAGAACAATCAAGCTACCCAAGTGAAAAAAAAAGTCACTTAAGCTAGATTGCACGCAGGGTGAAGCAGTATTTAACAACCATGAGCTGTGGGTGAGTGAGAACAAGATTATGTGACAAAATGAAAAATGTAAGCATCAACTTTACACAAAACAGTTATAGACATTTTATGTACGAAATGAAAACACCTCGGAGAGCCAAAGAGATTTCCAAGACAAAAATAAATCAAAGCAAGACCAGTGAGCTTAGTGTCTAAACCAAATGATATTTGTTTATATCCGCGTGAAGAATTCGGTAAAGGGCAAAGTTTAGCTGCTCGGAAAAAAAATCTCTGGTTCTTGCAGAGAAACTTTCACTGAAATGGAACAAGCGTGGTGTGTGTGGGCATGAACTGGAGATGCTGTGTGTGTGTGACCTACATGACCGTTCGCCAGGTCGAGCAGGTCCCTCAGCCTACAGCCACGGCTGTGCCTGCGCTCGTAGCAGATGCTGTCCTCCAGCACGATGTAGTCCGCTCCAACCGAACCGAGCACTTTATGAACCTCCTCAGCAGACTGACGCGCATAGACCTGATATACCTGCAGGCGACAAGACGGGCAAAGACGGGGAAAGGCTTAGAGGTAAAAGATTCATTGCAGATTTATGATACGTGTAGTAAAAATGTACTCCAAGGTGATTTTGATTTTTTTTTTTTTTTTTAAAGTCTCTAAGTGAAGAATAACAGGACATTGGACAAGTGGTTTGGGGGACTTATGCTAATTAAGTCATTGATCTGCAGAAATCTCACTGTGATAAACTGTAAGGTCCTTGCTTTATTGCAGAGGTTCTCAAGCTTGCAGTTAACAGTTATTAAAATGTGCTATCAAGTATTTGTGCATATGAAGAGGGAATTTAAACATTTCAAATGTTAGACATTTTCATACCACTGTTGTGACATACCAAGCAGAAAAACAGATCCGCCAAATAAGCAGAAAAAAAATGTCACAGTAGCCAATACGCAGTTTCACAAACCACAAAAACATACTTGCAGCATTTCAATTAATGGAGCAAAAGGCAGCATAATTGAAGACGCCATGATTAGGTTTGACATCTCCATATATCATGCAGACAGCGGTTCAACGTGCCAGGAAGGCTGCTGTAAGCCCGGTTGTAGGGTTTCCGACGTGCCCTTTTTATACGCTGATGTTGACAGACTATCACAACTAAAACTCATTTTCTCATGAGCCACAGATTCATACCGTACAGTGAAGAGAACAGAACGCTTTGAGGAAATCCATGGCAACCCAACAAACAAAATTACTGTTCCATGAAAAACCTAATAAGCTTTTGAAAAAATATTGGAAACATGAATTATGGATTCATAACATATTTGCTAATATGATGTAAAGGTATGGGTACTTTTCCATGACAAAATGTAAATAAATATTTTATAAACATTTTCTGTATGGATGTAAAAAGGCAAAGGAGGGAATGCCTCATAAGCAATGTCGGATGAGAAAATAATCAACATTGCATGAATAATGCAAATATTACACAATGGGAAATACAATAATGTTCAAAGCAGTATGCATTTGCCTCCTTGAGCTCATTGTGTTTCAGGAGCTGCTTTCATCACACTGTGATTGGATGATCATGTTGTCATTCTGTCAATGCGATAATGTTTCTCATGCTTGCAACAGGTCTGCAAATCGCCCTGAATGGGTCAAATTGGTGGAAATGAATGGACTAATTACTAACTTGACGACTCGGATATCATTACGTTGGCCAATATGAATTGAAATTAAACATGAAATGATCAGTGACATAGCCAGTGTAGGAAAAAATGAAGATCATTGAAGATCTCAAAGAAGAAGTTTATTGCAGCATAGCAGTGACAAAGTACAGTGTGCAAAACAGATATCTGTATCTGCTAGAACTAGCCAAAATGGACCAAATGGTGACGTGTTTTAGTTTGGTGTTCTAGCTGACATGAAACTAGAACGGCAACATTTGGAAAAGCAAGTGCAGAATGTGGAAACAAGAGTGAAGAGAAAAACAGCATACGTGTACAATATATATATGTGAGCAGAAAATATTATTTTGTGTGCGATTCAGATAACTTTGAAATTAGATTTTTTTAAAATTCACGCTTCTATTTCGATCCATGTCTGCATTTTTTGCTATTCTGATAACTGCATCAATTTTGCGTTTTCATATTTTGGATTCACGCTTATTATTTTTGATCTGTGACCGCAAAACATTTGACTAGGGCAAACCCCTAATAGTTGACTAAACGTTAATTGACGGGAAGAGGCTTAGTCGTCCAACACTTTATTAGTCGCAGAAAAAAAAACACTCCACAGGAAGTGGCGAAGTGGCGCAAGGTTGAGGTAAGAGACAGGTTGTTGACGGCAGCTCCTTGTTGTAATTATTACAGTATGTTGGGCAGGAAATCCAAACGTTTGCCTATCATCCATCGACCTCAAATATGGCTCATCATTTGAAACATGCAAGTAGAAGAAACTTTACTTGGCTGCTCGGTCTAACGGTAACCTAGATAAATGTGCGCTATTATTAGGAGGATATTCAAGTGTTTGTGCGGAGTGTGGAAGCTAAAGTATAGGCGACGACGCGATCACTTGTATTTATATCAGCAGAAACTTAAAATACTCCGATCAGACAGAGCATGGTTTGGCGCATCTTTTTTTGGCTGACTTTTTTACATTAGCTATTTAGGAAAGAGCAGTGTGCTTTTTTTTATGTTGCTAGGCAACCACCGAAACAGCTGTCCTGTCAATCTACTCAAGGATTATAGCACGAGCGCTCTAGAATTAGTACGGTAAGTAATTAAGTAAGCAGTCATATTAGCCTTTTTTTTAACTTTATTTGCCTTTTGTTTACATTGTGATAGTTCGTGAAGTCATACAGCTCCGGGTAACCCGCGACAGCCACCACAAGTTTCTCCGGATTTTCAAAGCAACTGTAAACTTCCGTTACCACAACGGAAGGCCCGCCTCTCCATTCATTCGATCGGACAGTGGAAAAATCCACGATGACGTCGGGCGCTTTTCCACTGCACGTTACATTCGCATACGATGGTCGCATTTCGAAATAACGTTAAAGTGTTAAAATATTGGTAATTCTATCTTCACGCTCAGGTTTGATTAAAATACATCACATCCGGTCGACCGGTCGCATACGGCCCAGAGCCATAGAGAAAGCCATTTGTCCACTCTCTATGGCTCTGATACGGTCTAGCCGCAGAAGTTCAGATATTTCAACGCATCGTAAGCTCAAATCGGATCCAAGATTTCCGCATACACATATGATCGGAACTCCATGCAGCTCTCGTACTACTCTCCATTGGAAATGACTGACTTCTGGTCCGACGGCTGTTGTTTAACGTGTGCAGTGGAAAGGTGGCTTCAGAGCACTCCTACAAAAACCCGAGGCGCAGCAGGTGGTTAAAACGCAAGGCTCCCGGGGCGCATAAACAGCGTGCAAAACGCTCACTGCCAATAGAGTGCCGAAGTTACGACGTCACTCTGTAGCACTCCCGGTTCCCTCGCTCTAAAGTCTATGGGATTTTTGAATGGGTTTTTGCTAAATCGCCTGAAATAAGGTCTGTGGTGAACAAAGCCTCTAAATATTTTCACGTTTTGATCTATGACATAGAACACACAGTTATAACCTGCTTGTGGTTTTTAAAACTTTGTTGTGTCTGCTTGTGTTTTTTAAAAACTTTATATAGGCTTCAAAATGTATCAATTTTGGATTAACTTGTAAAGATTATCTTGATAGACAAAACGTGTGAGAGGTGACAACTCTTTGTTAAACACAGATCTTATTTTTTGCGATTTTCCAAAAGTCTATGGGGAAAATGCATAGCTTTTCGATCGAGGTAACCCATGCGCCGCTAGCTTCCGAGTTGTCCTACAAAGTGACGTCATCACTTCGGCACTCTATAGAAAACAATTGAAAAAAGGCACCTCTCACTGCAAAAAAAATGCTTTCTATAGAAAAAAAACATTTCTTTCTGATAGAAATGTTCTAAGACATAATTTGACACCGTAAAGGGTTGTCTTTTATTTGTGTAAACTCGCATTAACAACAACGTTTTTTTGCTTTTGTAAAATAAAGAAAACAAACAGGATGTGCTTTCTGCGTCTTGGTCTCCATGAACTGAAGCGCGTCAAAAAAATTAACCGAAACTCAGCATATAGGCTACTTGCCTCACAAACATAGGGCCTATATAGAAAGCTTGAAATGTCTACTTTTAAATGGACGGTTTAAAATCGAAAACAAATACTTTTATGTAATCTGTATGAAAGTTGCATTTCTCTCCAAAAGGCACATCCACACTATAGACCTACTGCGGAGATGGCGAGTCAGCATTCCCAACTTCATCTTTGCAACCACTTTATCCTCGCCTTTTTAAATGTTGTTAATAAACAATAAAATGTCTCCCCCATTAGTCAACTAATGGCTTAAACGACTACTCGTCGACTAGAAAAATCTTTCAGAGAACAGAGAAAAGCATCTCCAATCCAGTGGCGTAGCAGATGGGTACACAGGCCACAGTTTTCGAGATGGTCCTCACTGCAGAACAGGAAATCCAGGGGGAGGAGTTGGACCCAGATCCAACTCCTCCCACCTTACATATACCTAAACCTACCCATTTCCGCCCCCTGATCCCTAACCCCACCCTAATCCTACCCATCTCCACCCCTTAGATCTTGATCCAACTCCGCCCCCTGGATCTCGTGTACTGCAATGAGGTGCTACTGCAGTTTTCAGCGGCCTTGCTTATGCAAGTTTTTTTTTTTTTTTTATAATAATAAAAAATACTTATTTCAAGAAAGAGTTAAAAACCATGAACCAAACTAAACAGCTGCAAGGTGAATCACAATATTACAAACATTCATTTAAAGTAAAAACATCTTTGAAAAACAGACAAAATGACAAGGTTGTTATCTAAAATATGCGGTCCCTTGCTATCGAACAAGAACACAGATTGACTGCATCTAAAGGATATTTTTTTCTATTTTGAATTGTTTAATTGGATTTGAGCACATCCCCTAGTTGTTATCTATGAAACAACTTGAAAAGTTTGAAAATGCATAACATTTATCAAACTTTGATTTGACTTGATTTTAATGAACGGTATGTTAATATAAACACAAAAATATTATAGTATTGGTTGCGTCTTGATTGTAACATAAATAAGGGTACAATAAGGTAAATCTGGAAACAGTGTAAACATCAAATTGAACTAGTACATGAATTTATATCGGACTAATATAACCTAAACGCAGAGAGGACTGCCTCCTCATTTTAAAGTCCACCACACACACCCTTGCAACCTCTCTGCATGCCTCCAGTTGGAGAACCTCTGCTTTAATGTACTGATTTGATGGGTAATTTGGCTTCTTCTGGTTAGATCAATTCTCATCAACACTCTGAATGAAGCAAGAACACTAGAGCAGGAGTCTGGTCTTCCACCAACTGTTCAGATCCATATTTTCTTTCTCCACACTCATACACAAATGTGAGAATGAACACACCCTCATTTGATCATCAGAAATCCTCCTCTGACTATTAACCTCAAGATTCTGCCTCACAAACTCAAGCAATGGACCTCTGCTACAGACAAATCTCCGGTAGTCAAGCCAAAGGAAACGACTTTGTTTCTTTCAGACAGAAATGGAAGAGAGAGACAGCTGATACAATCCGAATTACAGCTCAAAACAGATTTGAGATTTGACAGATTTGAGTCAGTGTACATTATACTTTTTAATCAGAATGTTATAAATGTTTTTTTTCTTTTATACACCACCATGACACGAAAGTAATGGCACATACAACAGCAGTGCTGTGGAGTTTATTTCACTTCATAAGGACGCCTAGTGATGTGTCAACTTCCAACCACCCCTATGAGAAACATAATTAAATTAAACTAATTATGCCAAAAGTCACACTTCTGCTGATGAAGCCAAGTGCATATGTCATTAAGAAAGCTCTTAAAGAGGATTTATGAACCATTTGCTCATGATCTTCTTGATGCGGTCCATTTGTAATCTCATCATTAAGATTATCAACTGATTTGTTAAGGTACACACTTATAGACTTCAATGCTTTAATTTCTTCTAACAGTATCTGAAGACTTTTATAGTGTTACTATCTTTTTTTATTTCACACTGATTTATTGCTGCTTCGTTTATTTCAATGTTCATAATGAGGCTTGAATGCAAAATAAAAGATTTGATTCTTTGCTCATATGGTTCTGAAGTCGTACATTTTTTGATGCAGACCTTGGAAGCTTGACCATATGTTCAATTCTGAAGCAAAACATTATGATGTATATTTTATGTAAACAATATATATTAGATAAAATACATGTATATTTTGTGACTGCTGCACAATCATGAACCAATACTCCCTTGATTACTGCTTGTGTCCTCAAAAACCTTCACCAGGCTAGTGTTGCAAAATTTTAGTATTGACACCAAGTAAACAAAAAACATGTCCCTGAGGTCCTGGACATTGTAGAACTTGGATTGAATTGTGAAAAGAGTGAAAACAGTGCTTAGACTTGCCTGTCTGGTCCTCTCCCTCAGCGCCTGGTCCTCGTAGTGTGGATGGTTTGTCAATATTCTTCCCGTACACAGCTTAATTCCAGCCAACAGCTGCATGCTGCCTGCAAACACTGCCCGTTTGGGCGTCTTCAATCTGTCGAGAAGAAATAAACATGAGAGAGCTCTGTAACCCACACTTCTCAAGTTTCACTAATATATCAGAACAGGGGATTGCAAAAGGGGACTAGATGTGTAGTGGTGGCATTTATGAGAAAAGGTAAATCTGCAGACATTTATTTCAGGTGAAGGGGGAAATGTGAAATGATTGAGTGAGGAGGGACACAGTCATTTGTACACTCCCATCACCGATGTCTGAAACATTAGTTTTGAAATCTATTGCAGGCTGAAAAGGCACTTTAACTGAACGTGATCTTTCTCCCGTCATTGTGTATATGTGCATGGCATGTATACAAGTGCTGAAGCTGTTTTGTTGAATAGCCTGATAGATGTTTCATCTGTTTATCAAAACATAACCTTTCAAATTCAGCTTCAACATTCTACTCCTGACTATCAGCGTCTAATACAGACAGGAGCCTCCAGAAGAAGAAAACATCTTCTAAATCTTTTATTAAAAATTAATTTTTTGTATTGGTAAAAGAGCCAGATTTTTCATATTCTGACATGAACAGATTGTGACGCCCTCATCCTGAAAAAACATCAATAAAACTATCAAGTTAAAGGTGCAGTAAGTGATTTCTGAGAAACACTGTTGACATTTGAAATCAACTCAAACAAACACACCCCTCCCTTCATTGCTCCGTCCCCAAAATCCACAAACACATAATGCAAGAGTGGATTTCTGAAGCAGAACAAAAAATGCTAAGATGACAAACGAACGACAAGGAAGAACCTAAAAAAAGAACATATAGTACACAAGAGTATATACAAGCAAGAGTTGGTTGTTAGCCGCCAGCAGCACACCAGCTCCAGACAAACAATGTCACTCAGAACTGTCCTGTTACTATAGCTAACATTACAACAAGAGCGTATCTTGGTTCTGTGAAACAGCAAAACTAACTCACGTATGGAGCAGAAACAATGTAACTTCTGTGTCAGACCTGCCCACTTAGGTCTCTCCAGCACTGGAAAGCTCTTGTCTGACCATAACCTTCCTTTTTCCAGTGATATTCCTCTGACCTTTTGTTCTTTATGACCTTTACTTTATGTTCTTTATGAGGTCAGATATTCCTCTGACCTCTTTTTCTTAATGTTTCTTAGCCATCTCTCTTTCTAGTCTTTCTTCAAATCTCCCTCTTGCTCACTCTCCTCCCCCATCATGAGTGGACACGCCCCCTACTGCTGATTGGCTACAAGAGTGTTATGGTGCTCGGTCCAATCCACTTTCAGCAGCGCGTCTCAGAAATTACTTACTGCACCTTTTAAATAAAATGTGATCTAAACTGAAATAGATTTGCAACCAGAATAAACATCTGTGCTGCCCGCAATGTCATTTGTGGGATGTATTATTACAGTGACATTAAGAAACCAATCAAACATTAAGCCGGTTATATCTAAATACTTCACATCAAGGAATTTTAACATCATAAAAAAGGTTGCACTGTATTTGGTAACACTTTATTTTACAGTGTCCTTGCTACACATGTTACATCTAGTTACTGTAGTAATAACTATAAATTATACATAATTTAGTAGTAACAGTAAATTATGCATGCAATTAAGTATTACTATATACACTCACCGGCCACTTTATTAGGTACACCTGTCCAACTGCTCGTTAACACTTAATTTCTAAGCAGCCAATCACATGGCGGCAACTCAGTGCATTTAGGCATGTAGACATGGTCAAGACAATCTCCTGCAGTTCAAACCGAGCATCAGTATGGGGAAGAAAGTTGATTTGAGTGACTTTGAACGTGGCATGATTGTTGGTGCCAGAAGGGCTGGTCTGAGTATTTCAGAAACTGCTAATCTACTGGGATTTTCACGCACAACCATCTCTAGGGTTTACAGAGAATGGTCCGAAAAAGAAAAAACATCCAGTGAGCGGCAGTTCTGTGGGCGGAAATGCCTTGTTGATGCCAGAGGTCAGAGGAGAATGGCCAGACTGGTTCGAGCTGATAGAAGGGCAACAGTGACTGAAATAACCACTCGTAACAACCGAGGTATGCAGCAAAGCATTTGTGAAAACAAAAAAAGAAACAACCTTGAGGCGGATGGGCTACAACAGCAGAAGACTCCACCGGGTACCACTCATCTCCACTACAAATAGGAAAAAGAGGCTACAATTTGCAAGAGCTCACCAAAATTGAACAGTTGAAGACTGGAAAAATGTTGCCTGGTCTGATGAGTCTCGATTTCTGTTGAGACATTCAGATGTTAGAGTCAGAATTTGGCGTAAACAGAATGAGAACATGGAACCATCATGCCTTGTTACCACTGTGCAGGCTGGTGGTGGTGGTGTAATGATGTGGGGGATGTTTTCCTGGCACACTTTAGGCCCCTTAGTGCCAATTGGGCATCGTTTAAATGCCACGGCCTACCTGAGCATTGTTTCTGACCATGTCCATCCCTTTATGGCCACCATGTACCCATCCTCTAATGGCTACTTCCACCATGTCACAAAGCTCTAATCATTTCAAATTGGTTTCTTGGACATGACAATGAGTTCACTGTACTAAAATGGCCTCCACAGTCACCAGATCTCAACCCAATAGAGCATCTTTGGGATGTGGTGGAACGGGAGATTCGCATCATGGATGTGCAGCCGACAAATCTGCGGCAACTGTGTGATGCCATCATGTCAATATGGACCAAACTCCCTGAGGAATGCTTCCAGCACCTTGTTGAATCTATGCCACGAAGAATTGAGGCAGTTCTGAAGGCAAAAGGGGGTCCAACCCGTTACTAGCATGGGGTACCTAATAAAGTGGCCGGTGAGTGTATATATATATATATATATATATATAACCAACATAAAACAAAAAATAATAAATCAATCAATAATAGTAAATCAAAAAAATAGTTAATACTAATATTAATGCATTTCAATGTTTCATTCTCTTTTTTCACAAAAAAAAAACAAAACAATTTTGGAACTGTGCTAGGTCATCACTTGATGTCCGACCCAATATAATCTGGGTCCCGAAGCAAAACAAGTTAAAACAACCACTGATTAAAAAAACAGCCTCAAGCTCTCAAAAGCCCCACCCCATGTCTGTTTAGGCAATAAAACAAAATATTGTTACAGACATCTTGCTTCAAGGTTGGCTGCAGCTCAAGCCAAAAATGACAAAGTGTCTGAAGGTTACAGAGGATATGATGGTTTCATCTTGGTCCAGTCTGGAATGAGTTTGATTAAATACTGGATCCATGGCTGAAATGTTTCATTACAAAGGAGCAAGTATGGTCATTATGGGTCAAGCATGAACATGGACCCTTACAGGACAACCTTGTTCTGAGTTCAATAACTTAAGCCAAGAGTCTAAGAGCTACACAAACACACACAATCTTAAATGAACTCCTCGTCGCCCCACAAGGGGTACAATAACACACCCTGCTCCATCTCTGTCTGTTCATACTACAAACGGAAAGACGTTAACATGGGGGACAGACTCACAAACACACACAGGGTGACTAACAGCTATTTTCAATCTTAAAGCTTACTAAGACAGCAGCAAAGAAAGAGACATTTGGCTCCAATTTCAGCGGGCTCAAATAATTCAGCATGACCTTCACTTCTAAGACAAACTTAACATTTGGTCACATATACATGATACATTCTTCTGATGCTAGTGGGGAATGTGGATGGGAAAATGAGACATCTGACTCTGTGGAAAGTGAGGGCAGCCCTCAGAGTAGTTTACACACTGAATTGACAGACAGACAGACGGATGGATCCCCCACGATTCCAAAATAAAATTCAAATTAATTCACTGAAAACATTCTAGTCTATAGAGATATTTTTTAGATATCTTGTCTTGATACGGTGTACTGATATGTTGTTAAACCTTGAGAGGTTTTGCTTCAAACAAGTGACCTAATCTACCAAGACAAAAAGCAGCTACGGGTCAGTCCGTGTAAAATCAGAAAAAAGTGTGTTGCTGCACCTACTCACATTTTGTTCATTGTGTTACATGGGACCTATTCTAAGGTCTAATTATGAATGCTGGCCACATCAGAAGATAAAGAGACAAACTTGTTCCCTTCAACCCCAATTTATCTATTGTTTAAAATGAATTTACAATTAACCCCGGAAAGTTGGAACAATGTGGAAATATAGACTTTGGTATTGGGTCCTTAATTACACTCATAAAAAGACCCAGGACATTAATAAATGTGTTTTGATAAAAAGATTCAAATGTAAAGTCTCTGTCTATTATGACCATAATGTAAGATTTTATTTTAGTGGGGTTTGGTTTAATATTGTGCTCACTTTTTGAGACTCATTTGACAGTGTTGACTAGGAGAATCATGGAATGGCAAAATATTCACAAAATATTCAATCAAACTATGTATGAGAAAAACATTGTATAAGAATGGGCCTAATAAAGTTATACCTCATTTCCACTCAGACTAATTTCTATCAAATATTGTCCACAGAGAAGCTCATGATTAACTACAGTACCACAAACCTCATCAGAGACAAATGATCTCATTGGCCTTCCTTATAAACCTTTTTTCACACTTCTGCCACAGGAAAAGGCTTCAATAATAGAGTAAAGGAACTTCTGTTTTATCATCCATAACAGGGACCATAGAGCAGAATTATGGATTTCAAATGCTCAATTCATCCCCAGTATGGCATCTAAACAGCCCCATCTCACTTTAATATTATTTCAAAGGGATGACAAAACAAAGACAAATGGTTTCCTGCTATCCGACACGCATAATAGCATGCATTTTATGGTTTCAGTGGTGAATACATACATGTGTAAGCAGCAGTTATTGCAACAACAAAAAAAAGATTGAACAACAGAGTTTGCATTGCTTTCATGTTCTAACTAGACTAGTGAATATATAATACCCATGTAAGCTTTCCGAAAGTTTTTTGCATAAAATCTTAAAAGTCCAGAGTCTGTTTACACTCCTAAACCTTGTTTTTTCGGGAGTTAAATTCTTCATTTCAATTGATTG